CTACGTAGTCTGCCTGTGACATTAGACCTTTAATCCAGGTCACGGCCAAAGTTTCTGTCACTCAAGATATGTCTTTTTTTTTTTTTGCCAGCATGCTATTAATCTGAAATTATTTCAAAGTGAAAATTTTAGAAGCTGAATGTTATGAGTGGAAAGAGGTAAAGCTAGTACAGTCCGCAGAGAGAAAGCAGTTTCTCAAGGACTTGGCCTTGTTACATGGGCTTCCCCACTCCTTAGAGGTCACACCTAGGGGCTCATGGCAATGGGCAGATGCTCGTCCATGGAGCTGCACTTTTTCTTACTATTTGTGCTCTCTACTGGTCAACAAATGTCTACTCCACACAAACACTGTGGATGCATCTAGAAACTATTAAGTGCAGAGCCTGAAATCATTAGCTACTCTCACCTTTTTATCTTGACAGCTATTTGGTTGAGTTTTTTCATCCAAAAAAAAAAAGAGTTTTGGAAAGACTTGTGTGTAAAAATTCAGAGAGGTTTCACAGTTCTCCATGATTCTGTTACATAGACTGTAATTTTCTGAAACTCACATTTCCTGACACAGTATTGAGAACATTAGATTGTAGTTATTTCAGATTTTTAAAAAGAATTCTTAAGCTAGGTAGTAGTCATGGTGGCAGCAGCGGCAGCACACACCTTTAATTCTAGCACTCCAGAGGCAGAGGTAGGCCAGCCTGGTCTACAGAGTAAGTTTCAGGATAGCCAGGGCTACACAGCAAAACCCTGTCTAAGAAAAGAAAAAAAAAGTAGTAAACCTTAGTCTTCTTTATTTTGAATGAAAAATTACTAAAATTTCTTCTCAACTCATATTTAATTCAGTGTTTATTACTTTTCTTTTTTACAGTCTAGATTAAAGTGTTCCCATTTTTGCCCCATCTGTTATCAGCACCTCACTGTCTTTTGTCCAAGGGCTGTTAAAGGACAGCAGAATGGAGTGGGGCTGCTCCTGAAATGAGCATGGCGGGTTAGTTTTTGTAAATTTTATACACATCTGTCCCTCCTGTAAATTGATGATGACATCTGAAGTGCTGATGTAATCCTAGTGTGTTCAGAGTAACTGCCCATCTGAAATGGCTATGCTGCTAACATGACCAAAGCCAAGTTGTAAGCATGTCTTGGTAATGGAGTTGGAGGACCACTTCAGACTTGTGGTGAAAAAACTACTCAATCTTTTTCTGTGGTTTTTTTGTTTGTTTGTTTGTTTTTGTTTTGTTTTTTTTTTAAATCCTGTTTGGTGTGGCCAACCAGTGCTAGGTAGGCCGCATGTGCCCCAGGTAGCTGTGAATGCAGCTTGACACTTAGAACTCTGTAAGTTTGGGGAGGGTTTGGGGAGAAGGGGTAATCTGATTGCATGGTTTTCAGGCTTGAATTTTGTAGGTGACAACATCTGGACATAGCTACAAGCTTAAGTCTAGGTGTTGGCTTGGCTTCCCCAGAACAACAAATAGCCAGGATCATTTTTCCTTAGGGGAGGTTCTGTAACCGGGATTTTTACCCAGATTTTTTTGGTTTGTTAGCTTGAGATCCTCTTTGACTCACTTTTCTTTCAGGTGTCTCATCCGTGTTGCTTCTTGACGCAGCACAACGGATGGTGTCAGATCCGTCTGTGAAGAGAACACCTGCACCTGTGCAGCAGAGGGCAGTACTTGTCTCCCTGGCAGCTTAGCAGTTATGATTTTTTAAGTCATTTTAAGTTCCACAGCCCAAACTCTCCTCAGACCCACCCTGGAGTGATTGAGACAGGATTGGATTTCCTCTCAACGTAAAGAATTAAGATGAAAATCCCTAAGAGCAGTAATTCAGACCCTAGTAGTAGTCCTAAGAAAATGAAACACCTTCACGCCTTTATACAGATGATCTTGACTCAGTTAAAATACGATATTCTTTAAGTAAATCCCTTTTGATAATTTTTAAATTTATTTTTTTATAAATTACACTTTATTCACTTTGAATACCAGCTGTAGCCCCCCCTTATTTCTTCCCAATCCCACCCTTCCTCCCTCATCTCCTCCCATGCCCTCCCCAAGTCCACTGATAGAGGAGGTCCTCCTCCCTTCTCTCTGACCCTAGCCTATCAGGTCTCATTAGGATTGGCTGCATTGTCTTCCACTGTGGGCCTGGTAAGGATGCTCCCCATCAGGGGGAAGTGATCAAAGAGCCAGCCCTGAGTTCATGTCAGAGACGGTCCCTGTTCCCAACACTAGGGAACCCACTTGGAGACTGAGCTGCCATGGGCTACAGCTGAGCAGGGATTCTAGGTTATCTCCAGGCATGGTCCTTGTCTGGAGTATCAGTCTCAGAAAAGACCCCTGGGCCCAGATATTTTGGTTCTGTTGCTCTCCTTGTGGAGCTCCTGTCCCCTCCAGGTCTTTCATCTCCCCCTTCTTTCATAAGATTACCTGCGCTCTGCCCAAAGTTTGACTATGAGTCTCAGCATCTGCTTACTGGGTAGAGTCTTTCAGAGGCCTGTTGTGGTAGGACCCTGTCCTGTTCCTTGTTTTCTCCCTTTTCCGATGTCCATCCATTTGCCTTTCTGAGTGAGGATTGATCATCTTACCCAGGGTCCTCCTTCTTGCTTAGCTTCTTTAGGTGTACAGATTTTAGTATGTTTATCCAATCATCCTGAGTGAGGTATTCCTTTTGATAATTTCTAAATTGATCTTTGATTTCAGACAACTTATTTTGGAAAACCTTCTTTAAACCAGTTTGAGCTATGAAGTATTTGAAGCATGCTACTATGTTTTAGAGCTGAATTACACTAATGCACTTGACAGTTGTCAAGTGTTTAGCAGACACGTTGACTGTTGAAGCAAGACAGGTGAATAGGTGTCTTGTTCATGCAACCTTCAAATGCACGACTCTTCGCAGATGTATTGAGGACACTGAAACGTGATGAGTTCTGAAGCCTGAGGAGGCTGAGAGAATGATGTTAGTGCTGTACTTGGTTCTGGTTCTTGGTAATGTTTGTCAGTGTCCGTCAGTGTCTGTGGAAGAGGGAGGGAATGAATGAATAGCTGATGTAGCTTGGGAATTCCTATCCCTGTGCCTCTATCTTCCAAATGCTAGGATTATAGTCTTGCCCACCATGTGTGACAACTTCCTGTTTTGAGAGTCTGTTACTGACAACATGTTGCCTGTCAATATTAGCTGTTAGTTCTTGGCCAGCGTCGTATTGCTGATGGTTCATATCTGCCATTCTTGAACCCTGACGACAACCTTAAGAAATTAGTATGTTTACCTCGCCTAGATAGATGATAAAGCGGCAGCTTGGAACGATTAAACTACTTATAACTGGCAGTAGATTTTTACCTGGGGTTCTGGGGAAAATGCAAGGATTTACCACAGGTAGGATGTGTGATAGGCTGGAGAGAAGCCAGGGAGTGTGTGAAGCAGTGGATGAGCCAATAAGGGAAGGGAAGCCTTTTTGAAGGGGTTGCCAGGGTGGCCAAGGTCTTGGAAGTCTTCAGAGTGTATCCCAGAGTCATCTGCTCAGAGGATGTTTGCTTTCCTGTCTCTGTTTGGTTGCTAACGTTAGTTACATAGTCTACATGCTCCTGGCATGTATGTAGATTAGAATATTCTAAGTACTAGACACTATATTCTTGGTGTGAGATCAAAAATAAAGTCCATTACTGAGTTTTAAGTTCTGTCATTAATAGAGGATGCTGTACTCAGGAGTTACAGTGAAGGTAATAGAGCAGTATGGGGACAAAGGCAGTTTTTAGATCTGTTGTATCATGTGCTGTTTGTTCTCTTTAAAATCACTTACACCATGTTGTCTCTGTGCATGTGAGTACCAGTATTCACAGAGGCCAAAGGCATCAGATCCCCTGGAGTTGAAGTTACAGAAAGCTGTGAGGCGCTCTCTGTGGGTGGCAGGAATTGAACTCTGGTCCTCTGGAAAGAGATGGATGTGCTCTTAACTGCTGAGCCATTTTTTTTTTCAAGGCTGTCTACATGTTTCTTTCCCAGTTTTCTTACTATGTAAAATACATTTAAACGTCTTACCAATTTTCAAAATTCTTACAATTGTCCAATGGGACCAGCATCCACCCCTAAGTTTTGTTTTGTTTTGTTTTTCCTTCTGAGAGGAGGCTCACTTCTGGAAGCTCGGTGCTTTAGTTAGGCTGACTGGCATCGACTCCCAGAACCTGCCGTTCTCCACTCTTGGCAGTGCTGCAGTACACAAATGTCCCAGCATGCCCAGCTGCTTACACAGGTGCAGGGAATCCAGCCTCAGGTCCTCACGCTTATGTATACGCGCTTTACCACTGAGTTGCCTCGTCCACACTGCTAACCTTATTTTTTAAAAATTGAAACTCTGTGCTCAGAAAACACTCCTTCTCTTACAACTCTCACCATCTTTCATTCTACCCTGTCTAGATGTCTGCTCCAGGTGCTTTATTTTAGTGTTGTCACACAGGAGTTTGTCTTATTGGGCCTTGCTCATTTACTTAATGAACCACAGTTCATTGTGGTGGAGCATGTGTCCAAATTTCCTTTCTCTTTCAGGCTGAATGACACTCCATGTTTGTATTCTTAGAGCAAAGAATGAAATGTGAGTATAGCTCTCCAGGAACTCAAGTTTTTACCTGCGTTATTGTATTTATAAATCAGCCTCAAAATTGAACACAGACTGCAGAGATGGCTCTGTGTTTAAGAGCACTTGGTATCTCAGTTCCTAGCATCCATATTGGGTGGCTCACAACTGCCTATATGGTTAATTCCAGGGGATTCAACACCCTCTTCTTTGTGTGGCTCTGCACAGACACATAAATAATTATTAAAAAAAAAAAAAAAAAAAAAACATGATTTGGTAGAAACAATCTGGATGGAACAAGAGCTTCTTAAGTTGGTGAGTCACCTGAGAAGATGACAGTGACTGGTGAGCAGCTAGGTCCCTGCCATGGCAGAGCAGGCAATCTGTGTCACCTCCTGTCAAGTCCCTTCTGCAACTCTCACCCCCTACTCTGCTTTCTCAGCTGAACTAGATGCAGAGCACACACAGAAGGTCCTGGAAATGGAGCACACCCAGCAGCTGAAGTTGAAGGAACGGCAGAAGTTCTTTGAGGAAGCCTTCCAGCAGGACATGGAACAGTACCTGTCCACGGGTTACCTGCAGATCGCAGAGAGACGAGGTGAGCTGGGGCAGTCCAGGCCAGGCTGCCTAGGATGTGGGGTATAGTCCTTGGTGGTTAGATCCCAAAACCAAAGTGACTGCTGTGGTCATGCCTAGATGCCATTTTCTTCCTTTAGTTCTAGATTCGGGTTGAAAAATTAAAAATAACTTCATATAACTGAAATCAAAATTATGCTCATACAGAATTTTGAAAAGGATTTTGTTATTTTATGGCGTTCAGGATCTAACCAGGGCCTCAAACTTGCTAGGCAAGTATTCATCTGAGCCTGGAAGAAAAAAAAATTAAGTTAAAAAATTACCTATAATTATAGTGTCCTTTCCTGTCTATTGAATTTATGTCTCTGAAATCAAACTCAACCTCTTTGCAGCTGACTTTTAAAATATTACTAGAGAGCTTTCTCCTGATTAAGAATTCTTTGAGGTGCTAGAGATGGAGTCATTGGTCGAATGAATGGTTTGCAAGCCTGAGGCTTCTCGGGTTAACCACAAGGTTGAAAAAAATAGAAAATGTATTTTAAAGGCTGATTGTCTTTATCAGACCATACCACACACAAGTTAGCCTTTGGTATTTGGTTCCAAGACCTCTCTCATGGAGACCAAAATCCATAGATATACAAATTCCTTATAAAAAATGGCATACTGTATGTAACCTGTGGCATCCCCCAAACACTGTCGAGTGACTTCATGTCACCTGACTTCCTACAGTGTCATGCCATGTTCATAGTTAGCTTGTACTGTTTAGAGAATAATGGTACATGTTTATTACACATACAGCTATCACAGACCTAAGTTTGTTCTCCACCCACAGTTATGGAGGGCCACCTGTATTCTAATAACTTCTGTAGTTGAATTGGTTTTTTCAGGAACAGCATCTGTATTCATAAATGAACACCTTGGGGTAAAGTGAAGACACTGGAGGGCTCGCTCTTATGTCTCCTGAGGAACTATCTCCTCTGGAGGTACAGCTGGGGTGGATAGGGCAGCTTGTGTTTTCCCTCTGGCAGGAGCTATGTAATCTTCCACAGCAACATATAGGCAAATTGAGGCTTCCCTGTCCTAGGTGTGCCGTCATCTCCTGTCATATCTCCATGCTCTCCTTTTCTGCGTTTCTAGCTTTCCCAGTACTGTGCCTCCTCACTTACCTATCACTTCTTTGTTCCTTGTCGTCCAGTTGTCCTGACCTCTAGGTTTGGACAGATCTCCTGGGAGATGCCCTGCTCTGCCTGATGCCTGGATCCTTGCTCCAGGTTAGGTTTCAAGTTGTTGAGGATCTCTGCTGACTGACTGATTAAGGCCCAGGAGCTAGAGCTTCCTACCCCTTAGACTCACGTCTCTGATGTTCAAGTGGACTGAGAGAATGAGGTGAAGGTTTTTGCCAGGTGAATGTTGATAGCCAGCTTTAGGAATGGTAGAAAGAACAGGTGAAAAGTTGCCCACGCTTGAGCTCAGTGCCACAGGCACAGTTGGTTCTAACACAAAGCTACCAGCTGTGGGAGTCCCTTGTGGAACTCTGGCGGTGCTTTGAATAGGACATGCCTCTCATAGACACATGTGTTTGGATGCTTGGTCACCAGGAAGTGGCATTATTTGGAGGCGTGGTCTTGTTGGAATGGGTGTGGTCTTGTTGGAGGAAGTGTGTCACTAGGGCTGGTCTTTGAGGTTTCAGATGCTCAAGCCAGGCCCAGTGTGGCACAGTCTGTTCCCGCTGCCTTCAGATCCAGATATGAAAATCTCAGCTACCGCTCCAGCACCATGTCTTTCTGCACATGCCATGCTTCTCATCATGACAATAATAGACTAAAGCTCTGAACTGTAAGCCAGTCCTAATTAAATGCTTTCCATTATAAGAGTTGCTGTGCACATGGTGTCTCTCACAGCAAGCAAATCTTAAGACACTGATCATGTCCACCTTCTTTATGTTCAGATGTGACCGCCTTTATAGTGCATGTGTGCAATACACGTACGTGTGTTTTTTGGCTTCTAAACCTTTGTAGAGGCAGAGGACCAAGCTCAGTGCTATTTGCCTACCATGTACACAAGGCCCTAGGTTCAAACTCCAGCACCATAATAAAACAATAGGAAGCTGGAGAGATGGATCAGAGGTTAAGAGCACTGGCTGTTCTTCCAAATGTCCTGAGTTCAATTCCCAGCAACCACATGGTGGCTCACAACCTTCTCTAATGAGATCTGGTGCCCTCTTTTGACCTGCAGGTGCATGCAGGCAGAACACTGTATACATACATACATACATACATACATACATACATACATACATACATA